ATTATGATTATGATAGCATGGCACACATTCTTCGACGAAGTAGCACAATTTACAGTGTAGAATGTGAGATTGAAATTCGGAACAGACCGAATGCAAAATTGAGTGCATTAGTCTAGTGATTATTTGGTTTCTTAAGTGAAGAAATGCTTTAATAGCCAAATAAACTTCACAAATTTATTTCAATTGCCTTCAAATAATGACCTTAATGCTGTTTGAAATTCGGCGCGTCTTTTGAGCTTTAACACAGTATAAGGAAGCACAATTAGGCTGTTCTGACTTGAATACTCATAAACGCTGAGTTTTAGTGAAGAATTTATTATTGTGCCCAAAGTCAATGTGACGGCAAGCTTACAGAGAAGTGCAAAATTGGAGCCTTGTAAAATGAATACGTTATGATTCAGAACTCTGTTTATCAATGAAGGAAAACTAGTGACTGGTTCTTTCCCAGGCTGTGCAAATGTCATTGACTGTCGTGCAAAATTAGAACGTGTAGTGGCATGTCAGAAGAGTCTAACTGTGTTGAAGCTCAATAGACGCGACAAATTTCAAACCGCATTTAAGTCATTATTTGAAGGAAATTGGAAACAAATCTGTGCAATCTGTTTGGCTATTAACGCATTTCGTCACTTGAGAAACAAAGTGAGTGACATCGGATCTCGTAGTAAATAATCACTATACTAATGCACTCGATTTCGCATTCAGTCTGTTCCGAATTTCAAGGTCACACTCTACACTGTAAATTGTGCTGCTTCATCAAAGAAAGTATGCCATGCTATAATATTCCTCCTAAACTTATCCAGAATCGATATTCTCTCAAATGAATCGCAACTTTTATTTGGGGGGCATATCTTAACTTCCTATAGCACTGACTAGGTTAGGTCGCACACCTGGCGAATTTTAAAGAATGTTGTAGCCTTTGGTCTGTATAGCTCTCTAATATTCAAAATTCAGTGTGGGTTACATTAGAGTAAAATAGTGCAAAATCATTTTGACCAGAGACCTGCAGAAATGAGGCTGTAAGATGTACTAGTTCAATTTATGGACTAGCATTCTTAGCTTGAACAATAACCGAATGGCATGAAAACTAACTGACAAACACAATAAAATAGCAGTAATTATTCAGAATATATTTATGGAATAAA